ATTTACAGATCAAGAATATTCGATGGCATAAGAGTACACTTTTCAGGCAGTTATCAAAATTGATCCAAATTTATGCAAAAATTTCATAGGATTTGACTTTCATTCGCAATAATTATAATCCCAGCTCTAAGTGAATATTTGTACGTCTTCTATAGAAATTTGGACGATGTTACTCACCCACATATAATAAAAAATAAAAAGCAATGGATCATTGGGTTGTCAAGGATGAGATTTTGTAAATAATTTGATGAAATATTGGGATGAAATTTGTAGATAAATATATACTTCAACTGTATGCGAATGTGATGATGAAGGACGAGGCATTAGTTATAGTTGCTAACAGTTCGCATAGGCCGCCCTCGACTGTTAAAATTCGATTGAACCGATAGCTCGATTCGCTGTGCATATGCTACGAGCCGGGTCGGATTATAATTACCTAAGATTGTAGGGTGATGATCTTGATACAAAAATTCAGATTAGTTTTCTCGCATCGTCATTGATACCTACAAGGAGCTTTCGCACGCATTCTCGATCAACTTGAATTTCCAAATGAATTAGTTATGTTGGTCTGCCGTTCTGGCTCTTTTTTCACTATTTGAATTCTCAAAGTTGATGAAATTAGGACTAAAGCATATATCCTTAGATGGGGTTAAAAAAAAAAAAAAACACTGGTTCGCGTACAATTTTCTGCGCTCATAACTGTCGAAGGGTCACCAACATTGGCTCCATCAATATTCCATAACATAAAGCAGTTGGCAACAACTTCTAATAGCAACATTTTGACGTATCAAGGAAGAGATGAAAAAGATTCCCATCCATGCTGAAACACTTTGCATATTCACTTGTTCACGTGCGGAAGGGCGATCTAAACAAAGTTGATAAATATATTCTTAGTATATTTACTTAAAATGTATCCAGAGTAGTTAGTTGATAGTTTTCGGCATATATTTATATTAATGCGTGATATCAACACCTAGCGCTGCCTAGTTAAGCGAAAAATTATGCCATAGCATTGAATTACTTTGGCATTCGAAAATTTATTTAAAAATACATTGTATTCAGTGAAAACGATACTGTGTACTATAATTGTAAAAAAAAAGAAACAATAACAACAACAACAACAACAACAGAAAGAGAAAAAAATTTTGATATAAAAAATATTTATTTGCTTTTTTCATTTTTCAAAAAAATTTTTAGTACCGTTATCGGCAAGAATGGAACAAAAAAAAAAAAAAAAACTCTATGTGTTTCCGGTTAATATCGTTAATGATGTTATTGTCGCTGCTGCCTTTAAAAAATTAGATTTCTTTAACAAAAAAAAAAAAATTTTTATTTTACTTTTTTTTTTTTTCTTGTTTTAACTCAATTAGTTTAATTATAAACCGATGTCGCGGATTAGTTTGTATTTATATCAGAATAAATATTTTTATAGAATTTATAACGCATACAGAAGAAGAAGCAGAGAAGGAAAATAAGAAGAGAAGAAGAAAAAAAAAAAAAACAAACAATACAACATTCTCATCACCCTTCACCCACATGTTGAGTTAAGGATAAAATCAAAATCTGAAGGAAAAAAAAAAAATAAATAAATAAATAAACAGAGCAACGACAACATAACATAAATTTACTTAAAAACGAGATCATTGTGAACGGAACTTATTTACTGATAACAGTTTCTCCTGATTTCTCACATTTCTTTATATATAAATACATATATAAGCGCTTAGCACAGTCAAGCAAATCTCGGCAGCAGTAGCGCGTTTGTGTGATTGAATTTTCATTCATTAGTCTTTAGATTCGCAATTCGGTTTTAAAATATTTTACATTATTTGTTTTTTTTTTTTTCTTTTTTTTTTTTATATACACATATATTTTAAGATAACATTTGTTTTTTAAACTTCCTTTGCAAAAAGTGGGAAAAGTACAAATTATGTCACTAATGCACAATATCGCTCACTAACTATTTGAAAGATACGTTGAAAAGAAAATGAAATAAGTTGAAGGACTTCTGACAAAGTCTGCCTTTTCATTCTCTCTCTTTAGTTAAATATTTTTTTGTTTTGTTTTCATTAGTTTAGGGGACAATTTTTTCTTCTTTTTTTTTATACACGAAAACCAATTTTAAGAACTTTTTTATGCAAAAGTCATAGCCTGAACGTGTAATTGGAAATAGTTTTAGGGCAATTGAACAACAGTTTGTAAGTGAGAAAACAGTTTATCCTTCAAGTTCAGTCCATATGTCCGTTTCTCCATCAAGTTATTCCGGACTTTTAAGCCTTTGTATCTATGGAAAGTCAAATGTCAGGCAAACTCTTTTATTACTCATCCACTGTTGCATTCAATCAATTTGCGAACACTGAGTGAATGGCTTACGTCATTGTTTCCGCCATTTAAAGGCTAATCAATTATAGAAAATATGCTTAGATACCATTCAGATCATTTGATTGATTTCGATCTTTTTAGCTTATTTAAAGATCAACAAACAGGTGAATCCTGATATTGATGAATGACGATTATGTTCTCTCATTTAATTGCAAAATGATGCGTGAGATCTATTTTTTATTCTTCGAAAATGAATCAAATATTTGTTAGAACTTTTCACTTTAAAATCACTCTTGGCTTTAATGTTTTACAAAACTTTATAAAGCCATCTTAGTCCTTTAATAATTGACATGTCAATTATAATTACGACGTGTAGATAAGATGGAGTTCTCAAAACCTTGAAAGTTTGACCATATTAGGTGTTTGCAAAAATTTTGAAAAATGCATTTATTGTCGGAAATTGATACAATATGCATTAGTCAAAGTATGTTGTTTCTGGCAACATGACGACACCGCGTTGGAACAACGATATTGGTTTGCAGCGATCTAACCGATCATTGACCCATTTAAGGCACTCGTCGAACTTTATGGAGCCGCATGCCAGCCAGGGTAGACTGCACTGATCTGAACAAGTGCTAATCGGGAGGCGGCATGTCTGGTGAATACGCTGGATCTGGGAGAAGTTCCCATTCGAGCTGCAACAGTGCATCCTTGACAACTCTTGCAACAAGGGGCCAAAAGTGGGATCTTTAGGCAGTTCGTGTTCGCGTTGAAACCAAAACCGACAATTGGAATATGGTATATGAAGCAGCATTACCATACGCCCCTGAACGCGTCTTGTTAGGCCTAGGCAGCAAATTTCTTCAAATAAACAAGAAATGTAATGAATTTGAAAGAGGAGAAGAATTTTGAACGCTCCATGGTTAGAGGCAGCGTACGTCGGGTATTTTCCATTTCTTTATCACTTTTTACCTATACAAGTCGCTGATCAAAATTTTTGCAAACATCTAACCTAATCCAGTGTTTCAATGTTTTCCTTAAAGCGCTATCTATAGAAGAGAATAGTAATCTCCCTTAAAATATAAAATTTGTGCACATAAGCAAAGAATTGAAAAGCTTCGGTATAGTGAACAACGCGATGTGGGTTCTTCCATAAAAGCAGCGGATAATTTGGGCTTAAACAAGGTTTTTTGTTTCCCAATCAAAATCAATCAAAATATTGAGAAAATGAGAGAGAAAATGTTAAGAAGAAATTTCGTGTTATCGAATAAATTGTCGCTACTTCCCGGAAAGTAGGCGTACCCAGTGTTGCAGCATGCTCAATAAAATCATGACTTTGGAAATAGCATAATGTTCTTGAACTGCTTTGCATAGATCGAGTTACGCCTGGACTACTTAATTCAAAGCATTGAGTTACTAAATCCGACTAATACTGAATAATCGATGGGTACAATACCGAAATAGCAAACAACCCTAATTCAAACTAAACGACTTGAATATCCTCTGCTTTCGTTCTAGACGAATTCAGTTGAGTTTGTTACGAACTCCCCTAATCGAATACCAAGAGTAGCCACATAATGTTCTTACAATGGGATAATGTTTGGTTCTTGTAGAAAAATTCGACCAAGCAGCATTGAACAAAGATGTGTTTTGAGTTTCTGACCGATTTCAACAGATTTCAATCGGTTCGAACATGGTTAACATTCTACGCCGAGCTGATCCCTAATTTTCGTGACCACTTAAAGTTCAGACGGAAATAAAGCAGGCAAAATGGTCGGCTCCGGAATTTCTTGCGGAAAAGTCCCACAGAGAAGCTCACACAATATTTTTTCTTAACAATTCATGTTGGAGGAAAAGGAATTCACATTACGCGATAATGGGCCTTAGTACTAAAAGTATAAAATGAGAATCAATTAGCTGTTTTACCAAACCCACTCATGAAGTATTTGACGCCTGAATAGAATCGCTCGTTATTAAAAAAAAAAAAAAATTGCCTTGCGTGACCGCGACCTCTCAAATACAGTTGAAAACGACATAACAGAGTTCCAAGACTAGTGCGAATCCTGAAAACTGGAAGAAGCGCTTAAAGTGCCATGGTATAATATGGAAAAGGTATTCTTTTCTAATATGGAGAGATCAAGATTTGACTTATTAGATAGAATGTTTGATGAAGAATGGAATTGGGTCTGCATAAAAGTAACAACGTCGGCAAACGAATAAGCTAAATATGTTCCGTACTTTAAGGGACATCGTAAAAAGCAAAATCCAAGCCTGCCATTGTGATCTATACTCTGCAGTTCCCATATACGGTAAGGCCATGTGTAGGAAACGATTTTAGCATTGATACGAACCTAGCACATGAGATGTGCAGAAAGAAGGGGAAATTTTGCTTTGTTGTTCACCTTCCCGAAGTTGGGATACAGAAGATAAGGGATCTTTTCCGCATGTTGATGATTAATATAAAACTTTTTTTTCCGTATCATAAAAACTCCATGAATTCCGTCTCATTAAGTTTTCACTTCAGTGAGTTTTAAAATTTAAAGCTTCCAATGGTTTGACGTTTGCCGTCTTCCCCATTATACAAACCTTTCATATTCAGTTTTAATAAGTCATTGTGCGTCTACACTTATAGAATATATTCATATAAAATATATTTGTAACTTTGCAATAACTTTCCTTTAAAAGCCCGGATCCCAATCAGTCTTTTGTGTTTCGGTACGTGTTGTGTAACAAATAATGACGTCACTGGCTTGAGGTACAATTTTTGTATCCTTCAGACGTAAACCACACTCCACATCTTTTTTTATGGTATCTACTTCATTCTTTAAGTGCCTCATCGATTCCAGGGAACCTTAATGACATAGAATGGAATTTATATAAATAAGTTTTAAATAAATAACTTCGCTTCTTCCCACCATCATATAGCACTTCGTTGTCGCGTAATAAACGGAATTTTTGCGATTTCTTTAAAATGCCTTTTGTGCAGCGGCAACCGGCCACTGGAATTTCTTTGCGTCCTTCTGTTATGAAAAACTGTTGTAAAACATTCGCTTCGCCCACTATTTCCTCAACCTCAAGTGGCGGCAATTTTGCACTGATCTCTTCCTTTAGATCATCTATCAGTCTGTAGATAATATTACAACAACGTATGGAAACGCCGGCAGGCGCTTTAGGTGGAGGTTCTACGGCAAAGGCATAGATAATGGCATTAAATGCCTTTGCCAATTCGACATCAGTTTCCGAAACGTTACCTACACCATAGTGAACTACGTCCAAACGGCACTTATCATTGCCGGTATAAGTCTCGAGAACATCGAGAATCGCTTCTACTGAGCCGTGAACGTCGCCTTTGATTATAATGCTAACGCGAGCAGTACCATTGTCGTTTTCTATGATTTCTTTAGAACGGATACCAGAGCGCTTTCGAAACCAACCCGCCAAACGGCGAGCATCACGTTCAGCTCGGTATTTAGCCAAATGTTCTTCCTCCTTCTTACGTATCTCCTCAAGAGAAAGCTCAGCTTTCTCTTTTTGCGCTTCTTGCTGACGCCAGCGTAAAACCGAGTTGGCCTTTTTCTGCAACAAACTTAGTTAATTTTGTCAATGCATGTCATACATTTTAAGTCCTTACTTCGGATTCAACTTCTATAATTAAATCGCCAGCTAAGGGTAATTCGCGCCAGCCGAGAATTTCTACGGGTGTACCAGGTTCCGCTTGATCCAAGGGCTTCCCGTTATGGTCGAATAGACCACGCACTCTCGCATGAGCAAGACCACTCACCAGCACTGCTCCTTTACGTAGAGTACCCCGTTTTACTATGGCCGTTGATAGCTTGCTTAAGACAACACCAATTCAGATATTTAACTACATTTTAGCAACAATGAAATTTTTACCCTCTTCGTGGGTCAGTTTTTGACTCCACCACCACTCCTTCCACTAAACCAGTATAATCGGCTTTTAAGCCCATCAAAGTTGCCTGAGTGCTAACAGCCTCGGCCAGCAATGGAAGATTAGTGCCTTTAAGAGCCGATATAGGAACCACTTGCACATCCCCGCCATGATCTTCCAATTCCAAACCCATTTGCATTAATTCTTGTTTCGTCCTTTCCTAGAAATCAATTTTTTCTTCCACTTGAAGCCTATAGATTTACAATTTATTAAAAATTACTTACAATATTCGCTTCGGGCTTATCAATCTTATTAATAGCGACAATAGGAACTATAAAGGTGGAAACCATTAGCCAAACAATAAATTAACTTGACAGTTTCTTACCGTTAACATCTTTGGCCAAACTTATTACTTCCTTAGTTTGAGCCATCACACCGTCTTCGGCTGCTATTACTAAAACTATTATGTCCGTCGCTACCGCTCCGCGTGCCCTCATGGAGCTGAATGCTGCGTGTCCGGGTGTATCTAGAAAAGTCACCTTTTCTCCGCTTTCCAAATCGACCATAAAAGCTCCAATATGTTGCGTTATGCCACCAGCCTCACCCGAAGCTACATTGGCACCTCTTAAAGAATCCAATAAAGTTGTTTTACCATGATCAACATGGCCCATTACCGTTACTACAGGTGCTCGCGGTTTTAAAACGTCAGGAGGTGCTGGCGGCCTCAGTGTCACATCGCGATCAACACTTTCATCTTCATTTGCACTATCCGAAGGGGCGGCAACTACGCGTATTCGAGCACCTAGCCTTTTAACAATTTCCTGTATAATTTTCAAATCATCTAATTGAGCAGTGGATTCCAAATTTTCGATACCCTTGACAAACAACATGGCTTCTTGAACATCATCTAATAAATAGTAGAGAAATTAATATCATAAAGATCATAAAATACTACATTGAAGCACATTATTCACCTAAGGAACGTTTTGCTGAAGTCGATAAATCTTGCACGGTCATATGACGCCAAACATCCACTAAGCCACCGTCCAAGTTTATAGTATTTTTCTTTTTTGGAGAATATTCTATCAGTCGCGGAGATTTCTATCAGAAGTTCATTAAAAACGTTATATTTAAAAATGTAAAGAATATTCAACGGATTTTGATACCTTTTCCTCAGCCGTCTTACGTCTTTTCCAGTGCACTTCGCAAGTAAAGAGCGTACGAGTTTGGCTTGTGCATGCTAGATTCTTGTAGATATGAATCTTCCTGGCGCAACAAGTCTTTAAGTGGGATCTAGAAAAGAAGTATGTAATGTAGTTATAATTGAAATAATGTGTTGACAAATGCAATCCATGTGTAATGACAAAGAAAAAGCATTGCAAATTTTAAAGATTCGGCTAAAATGAAATTACAAATTCGAAGTGTATTTACAAAGAGTAAGGTATTAACCGGCTTGCAATCTCGAAATAATCAAAGATTTTACTTTTACATTTGAAGCAATTGTACTTTTTATAAAAGTTTTTAAATATTTCATATATATGTTTTATGAGTTTATGTTTATTTTACAATCTTTTGGAAATTTTCTTTCACTTCTTACCGAAAAATTGTTGTAAACATTCTCTTTTTTTTACGTAAAGCTGGATAATGTGCACAAATAAATGCTGCTTTTTCTTATGTTAATCATGCACATGACTTTAATAAAAACATATGTTCGATTACAGAATGCTATGAGAGTTAATATATTCTACTCAACATCCTAAATTTATACTCTGCTAAAACATAAAGCAATTTTTGCAAATAAAATATCAAAGACAATGTAAAAACATTTCTGCATTGTCTATAAACAGAGAGCATTACTAATAAAACCGAAATATAACTGTGCATTGTCTTTGAATAAATTCAGTTCAGTTCAGTGCTTGCAAAAAGCAAGCAACTCTTCAAAGAAAATATCAAAGACAATTTAGAAATATATTTGCATTGTCTCTGAACAAAGCATTACTAATAAATCAAAAATATAAATGTGCGTTGTCTTTGAATGAATTTAGTTTCGAGCGTGTGTTATTAAGGATTGGCGATTTCTCTCAACGGATTAAGAGAGGTGTGCAAAAATTAAAATAAAATATAATGAATTTAATCAAAAATAGTACAGTATTAAATGAAAACTTTTGTAGGAATCCTTTCAATGTAATATGAACCTTCGCGTGGCCGAACTTTATTTTTCTCTTAATTTTCTGTGGACTATTGTAGTACAGAAAAAAAATTTGAAACAGTGATAAATATCGCAAAACATTTTTCAAGAATATATTTCCCCTTACATATTTGAAAATTGCAAGAATGAGCGTCTTCTTATGTACAATATATGAAATAAGAATTCATCATGAATAAGACGCTTTATCTAATAAGAATAATCCCTCTCAGAAGAAGAGAGAAAGATACCTTTAAAGAATGTAATTAACATTGGAGAATATTAAAAAATGTTTGCTCTTACATTAAAACCCTTGCTAACAGAATTTGTCGATTTAGGTACTTAAAAATTGCCAGAAAGAAGATGAAAATTGTGGAAGTGTCTGGTTATGTGGGTCTTGTGTTCAAAATAAAATTCGTTATGAATAAAACGCGTAAACGAACAAAAATAATAAATAAAATCAGTTTAGAGAATGGATTTGATATTGGAAATTAAGATAGAAAAACGAACGATCAAATAAAAAGTAATTGGTATTTTTCGGTTTGAAGGTGAAATCTTAAAACTTGGCGAAATTATAAATATTAGTGAAAAAAGTGGCATTGGATTGATAAACTACGAATAAGACTAAAATGCAATAGTTCTGATTAGATTTAAATGAAATTTTATTGCGTATAGGTAGCGGAACAAAATGTGGTCTCTGGGTAAGTTTTCTTAACAAGAGTAAAACTCTCTATCTCCCTGTATTCTTTCTGTGTCCAAGACTTTGGAAACTGAAGAAGTAACAAACAAAACTAATTATTTGGTGCTGTTAGCTTTTAACAATTTTCAATTTCAAATGAACGTAGCTGCATTGAATTATTACTCATAAAATAGAGATTAAAATCTATAAGCAGTTTTTATGAATAACAATCGTTTTAAATAGATGGCACCGTTACGAAGGCATTATGAATCAAAGCCATCCTGTATTTTGTCTTAATATGTAGTTGAAAAATGTTATCGAATAATGTTATTTCGAAAGGTTCCAACTTACGTGTATTCAGTGCATTTGACTTGCCTACGCGCATTGAGCGAATGCACAAACCATCGGGTAATTGAAACAATTTAAGTGTTGGAAACTGTCAAGACCACTATGAAAAATGTTAAGAGAATACATGATGAGTTACCACTCGTGACTTCTGCTAGTTATGATGAGGAACAAATATGTGCGAGTGTCGGTACTTGCTATTCTTTTGCTGAGAAGAATCTAGTAAGCAAGAAATCTTAAATAACTTATTCGGTTTTATTTTTTTTTTTAAATAAATAAAGCCCTTTACTTAAAAAAGACGGAAGAATGTATTGGAAAATCTAAAAAAGTTGCGTATTCTGTGATTATGTCACGTATGTAATACGTATAATTGTATTATGTGTACGCATTTGCGATTTTTTTTTTTATTAGATAAAAAACATTTTTTCTTTCTCTAGGAAATCTTAAATTGAAAATCATGAACTTTTAAAAAATACCTTAAGGAAAGAAACCGGATGCATTTTATTAACAATGAAATTGAAAAAACTTTCTCCTCCTCAATTGCCCAACATTCTGGTGTATTGTGTAGGCAAAAAAGTAATGAGCTCTCAGAAAGGCACTCATCATCATTTTTATTCTTTACTTTATTCGAAGTGAGATTAGAGAGAAAACTTGGTATTGATCTTTTCACTTAGGCTTAATATTTTTTAGACAAAGTGTTATTAAAATTTTTGTAATTAAAGTTTTTCTTTTAAAACATCTTATATCTTCCTCTACACAGTATGTTCGCTTGTATTCGCGTCTGCTTGCCTGCTTGTTAGGGGGAAGTAAATGCATATTTTTATTCTCTCTTAACTTTTCTTGTTTGCACTTGTTGGAACAACAATTCAAATGTAATGTAATGTATTTGTGCGTGTTTATGTTGATATCTTGAAGAAAGCTCTCATTCTGCGTAAGTATGCATCTACTGATACTTTCCTGGCAAAAGTTTACAACTTACAACTCGTAAAATGTAATTAGGATACACCTCCATAAGTAAGACTAACGCCTGCTCTTGCTGCTACTGTCTCTGTACCAAATGTTACTTTTCATTTTGATGCTACTTTTGCATATATATATATATATATATTATATATATTATATATATTATATATGCACGTAGTCAGTCGTAGCTGGTAATGGTCTCAATTGTGTTTTAATGCAATTTGATTTTAGCAAATGCGGCACAAAATTTGCACTTTTCAACTAAGAGTTCTTAACGAAAATTTAGTTTCGTGTTTCTTTCAATCTTTCCTTCCTTTGCACGCCTTGATGTTAGTAATAAAAAAAATAAATAAATAAAAAAAAAAAAAAAAAAAAAAAAAGAAAGAAAAGAAAAAAAGAAATGTTTTTTGGTTTTATAAAACGATAAATCTGTTTATAAAGTAAAACCCTAAACGAAAGAGAGAGAAGGCATTATAGAACACCATAACCAATGCTCTACCGCTGCTAGGCATCGTACACTAACCATATCTTCATTATCGTCATCATTACGATGATGACTAAAGCAATAGCGATAATAGAGCAGACATGAAACCAGATAGACACAAACCAAGTAGACAAACAGAGATACACACACTGTACCGATGCATTTACTATCCACTGAAGATGAAGAGGGTAACTGCGTGAAATTATAAGGCAAGCATTACAGATTTACACATAAAAAGCACGTAGTTTAGCTGGCAATATGCTTTACACTCTCAGAGTATTTTTTTTTTTTTTGGTGTGTAAGCTGAAAGGAAATAAGCAAAGCGAAGTAAAGCAAAAGTCGCTCTAACAATCATCATAATCATCATCATAATCATCGTCATTATCGTCATTATCGTTTTTACGTTAATAAAATATTGTATATACATATAATACATCCGCAAACGAATACACACACACACACACACACACACACACACACACAAACACAGAAGCACGCAGAGACACACAAACACACATGGAGCACATATTCATTTACAAACACAGGCAGAGCCACACTTACGAGACTTTACTGGCGAGGCGGAGCAAAGTGTAAACAAACATGGCCGAAAATGTTTGTTACTCATAATCGAGATACAAATACATTTACACTTATGCTGTGTGAGATGCCTTGAAACCATATATATATATATATATATATATATATATGTATACGTATAAGTTTTTAGCCACTCTTACGAACTGATAACGCACTACTGGTAACCAATGCATCATGTAAATCATATAACATTTGATTGTAAAATTTATTTTCATCATAATTATTAACATTGCAACCAATACCATCTAACCCAGTCGACCGTATGCAATCAGCACATTGCTCTGTCCAGTTATTATTATGAAAATAAAATGCGTTATAAGTGCTCAGGTGTACGCATATATATATATATATATATATATATATGTATATATATAATTTACATATATATGCATCTACGAGTATCTATAAATAAAAATTTCTGTGCGTGTCAGCTTAATTCAGAAAGGTTTGCATTAAAAAAAATGTATTTTATTTTTAATTAAAAATTATTGCAAATAAAAATTAAATTTTTGGTCTCTCGATATTGACTGCTTAGAGGAGTTTTTAGTTTTTAATTATTATTATTTCGTCGGGTTTGAAAGGGTATAGAGAGAGAGAGTAATATATATGTGCTTAGGTTTTTTTGTTCGCAAAGATTCTTATAATCCACACTGGACAAAAACGGTTGACTTTTTAGGCTTGTTGTGTGTCGTTAAATGCATTAAGGGACGTTTTGACGGGTTTGCGTTGGCTTAGTATCAGACCCCATAACGCAAGTACTTGTTTTTTTTTTTTTTTTTGCAAACAATCTGGTGGAATATGTCCTTAGAGTTGTAAAAGTTGCTCCCTTATAATAGTAGTCCTCATGGAGTTTACAAGATTTTCATCTTCGATCTTTTATGTTCGTTGGAATATTTATAGCTTGTGCTTTACATACATTGCTAATCCATGACGTGGGACGCAGAATAATTAGAAAATGTTGAGATTAGTGCCTGTATCTTCATTTTTTGTATGACTATACAGATTTTCATCCGTTACAAAGGCAATCGATAAATTCTCTTTCAAGTGCGGCCCCAATACTATCTGTAGTCTTTGTATTGGGCGTAAGTAGGGACGAATTTTTTGACATCACCTTCTTCTACACGTTTATAAACGGGATATTTTTACCATTGACCTAAAGTTGTTGCGATGAAAATGTTAATAAAAAAAAATTGGATGCTTTTACAGGGAGAAAAATCTGTAATCTTCTAATGCTGGTATAATTGGAATGTTCGCGGAGTGATTAGAATTGTCTTCGGGAAAAATTTGGGCGATTCCGTGCTGAATTTCGTACCAATTATAGTCCACATTGTCCGTTTATGGTATAAGGTACACAAAATTTGTGCGGATGCAATACTTCACACAACAAGAAGGGCTCAAGATTGGCTTGCCTTTGCCTTGTCTGCCTGTCTGT